ATAATAATAATAATAATAATAATAAAGAGAACCAGAGAGAAATGTGAAATATCAAGCATACCAGCTTATATGTAATGGAAGTATCCAATGTAAGAGAGAAAGGGGCTGCAAAAGTAATACTTAAAGAGATGAGGGTAGAAAACCTCCAAAATTTGACAAAAATTAAAAAACTGTTAAACTACAAATGTATGATAAATTAAACCCCAAATAGGATAAACAGAAAGAGATCAATGCCTAGATTAATGCTGTTGAAAGACAAGGCTAAATTCTGAAAGAAGCAACAGAAAAAGTTACACAGTGGAACTACAGTACAATTAACAGCTGATTTCTCACAAAAAGACAATGAAGGACAAAAGGCAATGGAATGACAAATTCCAAGTACTAAAAGAAACACTGTCAATCAGTAATTCCACATATCCAGCAAACTATCCTTTAAAAATAAAGGGTAAACAAAAACATTTCCAGACAAAGACAGAGAACCTGTTGCCAGCAAACCAACCTTACACCAAAAAGAAACAACAGAAATCCCAAGCTGAAAGAAAATGACAACTGTTGGTAATTCAAATCTAACTGAACAAGTAAAGAAGACCGAAAAAGGGAAGTATGAGGGTAAATAAGAATGATTATATATAGGTCCATGGAAGGCCCCCTCTTGTTTGTTATTTTGTTTCCTTTTGGGAATATTGTACTTGAGAAATGTGTTATCATTTTGTGTACATGCATTTTAGATTTTTATATATATTGGTTTATATTATATATTTTATGTTCCCTAATGTTTATTTTTAATGTTTTTATTAATTTTTCAGAAAAAGGAGATGGAAGAGAGAGACAGAAACATGATGTGAGAGAGATACATCAATCGTCTGCCTCCTGCATGCCCCCTACTGGGGATCGAGCCTACAACCTGGACATGTGCCCTGACTGGGAATCGAACCGGGACCTCTCAGTTCATGGGACGAAGCTCAATCTACTGAGCCACACCAGCAGGGTTCCCTAATGTTTTTAAATAAACACTGCTTTCAAGGTTAAAAAAAAAAAAAAGACTATATAAATATATATTCTCTTTTCTTCTCCTAACTTCTTAAAAGACATCAGATCATAACACTATATTTGCTGGTTTATAATATATTTAAGTACATTTTATAATAATGCAATGAATGGGGAGTAAATAAAAATTTATAAAGCAAACTTTCTATATTTTACTGGAATTAAGTTAGTATTAATCTAAAGTAAATTGTCATACATTAAAATGCATGTTTTAATCCCTAAAGCAACCAATAAGAACTTAGCAAAATACTCACCAAAAAAATCATTTAAATGATATAATAATCAATATCTACTTAACACAAAAGGTGGCATAAAGGAAAAACAAAAATATATGAGACATAACAAACAGCAAACAGCAGGCAAATCCAATCATATCAATGATTAAGTATAAAAAGACTAAATACTCCTCCAATCAACAACAGTAATTTTCTGACTGGATAAAAAAAATAAGAGCAAACTCTATATTGCACGTAAGAGATACTTCACTCAATAATATGAATAGACTGAAAGCAAAAGAATGAAAAAAGGTACCATGCAAATGTAAGAAACCTAGAATGGCTATATTAAAATCATATAAAGTAAGGCTTTAATAAGTACTACTAGAGACAAAGAGAGACAATGCATAAGACTAAGCAATTCATCAGGAAAACATATCCATTATAAACATACATGTACATGCCAACAGAGCCCGCAAATAAAGTAAAAATTAACATAGCTGAAAGAAGAAATAAAAAGTTCAACAATAACAACTGAAGACTTCAATACCTCACTCAGGAAATGACAAAATTAGAAAATCAGCAAGAATATAAATGCCAAACAACACTATCAACTAACTTGAACTAACATTTACATAAAAACTCCACCTGACAACAGAATATATATACTTTTCAAGCACACATGGAACATTCTCCAAGATAGATCATATACTAAGAAATAAATCAGGCCTCAATAAAGTTAAAAGAATTGAAATTATACAACATATGATTTATGACAACCACAAGAATACAAAATTAGAACTCAACAACAGAAGAAATTTTAGGAAATCCACGAATATTTGGGAACAGAAAAACATATTTCTAAATAAACAAGTCAACAACAAAAAATCACAAAAGAAATCAGAAAATACACCGAACTGAATACAAATGAAAACAAATATAAAAATGTATGATAATCAAGGCTCAAGTAGTGCTAAGAGGAATATTTATAGCTATAAATGCCCCCATTAGACAAGAACAATCATCGCAAATCAATAACTTAAGCTCCTACTTTAAGAAATTAAAGAATCAGATAAAGAGCAAAGAAAATTCAAAGCAGGCAAAAGGAAGGAAATAAAGTTTAAAGTATAAATTAATGGAATTAAACAGAAATATAGAGAAAAACAAATAAAACCAAGTTGGTCCTTTGACAGAAAAAATAGATACAAGTTACCAAAATCATGAATGGAAGAGACATTACTACCATCCCTACAGAAATTAAAAGCATTCTAAGGGACTACTATGAACAATTTTATGCCAGGTTGAATTTCGATCAACAGATGAAAATAAATTGGCTACATACTGATAATTTTTTAAACTGAGTAGTGAGTAATGGAGGCTCATTACTCTCTTCCTTCTACACTTATGTGGGTTTTTTTAATCAAGTAGCCATATGATTATTTGCATGTGGTATCTATCATGAATGTTTCTACAAAGAAAAAAACTATGTTATTATAGAACACCCTGTGGACTGGCTACCCCAAAACCTCCCCTCCATACCTTGATCCACAATCAGAATTAAAAAGCTAAAAGAGTCACCTGCCCAGACTTCTCTGAAGCTAAGGACACTCTTGAGACCCAGATTCTTTTCAGTGAGATATAAGGACTACGTCTAGGTAGAAAGTTAGCTTTACTTCTCTTAAACTGCCTAATCTTTCCTCCCTCTTCTTTTGTCTCTCATTTCACAAAGCCTAAAAATAAGTGTCTTCCAGCCCTGGCTGGTTTGGCTCAGGGGTTAGAGCGTAAGCTTGAGGACCAAAGGGTCTTGGATTAAATTCCTGATAAAAGGCACATACCTAGGTTGTAGGTTGGATCTCTGACCCTGCTCGGAGTCAAGCCGGAGGCAACCAATTGATATGTCTCTCTCACATCAATGTTTCTCTCTCTCTCTCTCTCTCTCTCTCTCTCTCGCTCTCGCGCTCTCTCGCTCTCGCGCTCTCTTCCTCCCTCCCTCCCTCCTTCCTTCTCTCCTTTCCAATCTTTAAAATAAAAAATTAAAAATCAATGGAAAACACCCTCGGGTGAGGATCAAAAATAAATAAATAAATGTCTTCCAGCAGTAGTTAAAATCAGGAATATCCAAAAGAAACAGAATAAATATAACTTTTATTTAAATTGTTCAAAGTCTAAGATCTGACTTCTGTGTCTCTAGACTGATTTTTTTAGCCCTTGGCATGTGCTAATTTGTATGACTTCCTTACACAATTTCTATAAAGCAATAGTCTTCTTGCTTAATAATGTTACCTTTTTCTATAAGCATAGACTCTGCATAGAAACAACTATAACTAAGAACAGCAAATAGCTAAATATTGTATCATTTTGACTTAGCCGCTGATCTCAAAGATCTGCATTAGGTCATAAGCAGAAGCCAAATTCATCATCTTGGCCTAGTCTACAGAGTAATAAAAACATAAGCAATCAAGTCAGTCAGCAAGAATCTTATTATTACTACAAACTTTTATATTGCTATTTCTATTTCTATTATATACTGTATAAGTCATACATTTATAGTAATATCTTCCAACAGATCAACTTTCTTCAGTAAAGTAAAATAGGTCATAAAAAATAAATTCCTTTCACCTTGACCGGTTTGGCTCAGCGGTTAGAGCGTCAGCCTCCGGACCAGAGAGACCCGGGTTCGGTTCCCACTAAGGGCATGTACCTCAGTTGCAGTTTGTCCCCAGCCCTGATTGGGTCGTGCGGGTGGCAACCAGTTGATGTGTCTCTCTCGCGTTGATGTTTCTCTCTCTCTCTCTCTTCCTCCCTCTCTCCCTCCCACTCTATCTGAAGATAAATGAAAAAAAAAAAAAGTCCTCGGGTGAGGATTAAATAAATAGATTTGTTTTGCAGATCCACTAGCATCAGGAAAATTAAGAATCCCACTGCTCACATACCTCACTGGTTATATGTTGTAAGAAATTACATTTATATAAATAAGTAGACTTTTAGTTATAGAGGGAGAAACCAATTATGACACAACCACCTAGAAGACTAAATGCAATAGAAAAAGTGTGGTCTTTAAAAACAGTGATATTGCCCAGCCTGTGTGACTCAGTGGATTGAGTGTTGTCCCAAGGACTAAGAGATCCCTGTTGGTTTCCCCATTAGGGCAAATGCCTGGGATGCAGCTTAGTCCCCAGGAGGGGAGTGCAGGAGGCAGCCGATAGATGTTTTTCTCTCACATCAGTGTTTCTATCTCTCTCTCCCTTCCTCTCTCTCTAAAAAAATCAATAAAAACATATTTAAAAAAATTTTTTAACATATTAAAAACAATAACAACACTGATAACAACCGACAGCCTGCACAGGATCAGTTCAAAATAAATTAGAAAATTATAAAGAACTCAGAATGAAGGCATTACATGTCAAGAAACAATACACAAATATCCAATGATCTCTGGTAACAGAATTTGTACTAATCTACCTCTCTGAAATTATATGTCACTATTTTTGTTCTATCTTTAAATAAATTAGTACAATTAAAACATTTTAATATCGACTTATATCGGTTTCTATCCCAAAATGAAGGATATGCCATAGACACTGCTACTGAGCTACTAACTGATTTTAGTGAATAATGAAATTCAAAAGGAAATGACATTTTCTATTGTTTTAAAAAAAAAAAACTTAAATCTTGCTTTACTACACATTAGAAAACACAGGTAATAAAATACAGAATATTTCAGAAAGACCTCCAAACCTTGAAAAAATCTTCAAGCTGTTTACTGTTATAAAGAGCAGGAATATTGGCAGAGAACTGTAACAGATCTTCAGCACACTGTCTCCTCTCTTCAATAACAGTTTCATCAAATCGTCCTACAATTAAATAAGAATCAACACATACAAAGAAGGGTCAAACACCGGTCATGACCACTCACGTTCAGCGCAGAGAGCAGCAGCCCTGTCCCTGCCCGCTGCTGCGCTGATCACGCAGCTTCTCGGGTCAAACCTGGCCCCACACCTGCAGTCAGCAGCACTCTCGCCAGAAGAGAGAATGATGCTTCTGACAACGCGAGGCAGAGATGTCAACTCGAAAAGAATGGTGCCACCATCATCTAAGGCCTGTCGATTTCAGAAACTTACCATCTGAGAAGCTGGCGAGGTGAAACTAAGGTTGAAAAGAGAATTATAAAGAACTAGACTGGTTTTCTATAGCAATTTAATACTGTAATTACGTATATCATTTTCCCTTCCCCACTCTTTTTGATTTACAAAGGAAGAAAGGAATTATGAGAATGTCTGTATATCAGTGGGGTAAAAAACCTTGGTTTGAAGAAAAAAGCTTTTTAAGCCAAATTCTATGTGTGATACTGTCAGCGTACACAACACCGTGCTTGTGAGAAAAAAGAGAACACAGGGCACCAGTGGGCTATTTTCCAAGGTGACAGAAAGGTGGTGTTCATAGAATTTTTTTAATGATATAAACAATTTGAATGCTGATTAGACATTTTCAAATATGACCACTTTTACTACTCTCAGACCAGACTACAGTTTGGCATTTGTCACCATACTGACGACAATTTAGGTTTAAAAAATACAAAATTAAGAGTAACATCATCACCTACTTAAACACTTTCAGTAGCTTTGCAAAATGTCAACAGGAAACTGAGGCACAAAAAGATTCTAGTTATATTACCCCAGGCAAGAATCTGAAACTGTACAACTAAATACCTCGGCTCAGTGTGTCTCATGCTTAAAAGGAGGTGTCTACTTCCTGGTAACTAAAGAATTGGTTTTACTTATTTTTTTAAATTAAATTTACTGAGGTAACGTTGGTTAATATACAGAATGGGGCAAAAGTAGGTTTACAGTTTTAAGTATTCGAAACAGTTTATTCTCGTCTTATTTATTAATCATTGTATTATTTTCCAGATGGACAACTGTAAACCTAGCTTTGCCCCATTAGTAATTATGTAGGTTTCAAGTATACAATTCTTTGATACATCATCTGTATATTGCATTGCGTGCCCACCACCAAAAGCCAAACCTTCTGTCACCATATATTTGACAAAAATATGGAACACTTCACAAATTTGTGTCATCCTTACACAGGGGCCATTCTAATTTCTGTACCATTCCGAGTTTAATATATGTGCTACCTAAGCTCAATGCGTCATGTTTACAGTGAAACGTCTACCTCTTGGTGTTGGCAGCAATCACAGCACCAGGCATTAGGCCACTGGGGTCAAACTGGATATAGTTTCAACAACCTCGGTACTTAAGTTCTGGCTAAGAAATAATTCAGAACCAAGACACTCAAGCTATAAGAGAGATTATTTAGAAAGTCACAGAGGTAGAAGTGAGTGGTAGAAGAAGTGGGCTCAAAAAACAAGTTGCAGAGGCAAAAGAAGGACCCTTGAAACTTAGGAGAAAGGTAAACTTAACAGGCCTGGTTTGGGGGGGGGGGGAGAAGGGGGACATGCATGCCCTCAGGAAGGAGCACAGCACTGGGTCCTGTCTTGAAGATATTTATCTGGAGATCTCAGGGGAGAATCCAAGAGCATATTCATCTGTTTTCCAGGTCTGTCCTTTCAAGATCATGGTCTCCACTGATTGGTCAGTGCCAGGGCAAAGGGTCATTAGTCAATGCAGCAGGTCCTGATGTCAGCCACAGCATCTCGTTTTGCAGCTTTTCTAGCCTGGAGCTAAAACACAGCTGAGGCCTAGATGTTATCCCTAGGAGTTAATGCTCAAGGGAGTACTACAGTGCAAGGGCTCACGTGGGAGCCTCAAGAGGCCGCTCTTCAGCCCCTTGTTCCTCCTCCAAAGGGGTCTACTGCATGGCTAGCAACGTGCCAGAGAAGGAAAAGTCAGGAGAGGATCTGAACCAGAAGATCAGCTTATACGAAAGGTCAGGAGGTCTAAACCACAAGACCAGTGATATGATATGCTAGGGGAGGAAAGGTTACCCTGGGGGCAAGATTCTTGTTTTCCCAGTTTTTCCCGTTGACAGATACCTGGGGCTTTCTGTCCTGGTGACCTGTACCTGGCCTATCATTGTTGTTCTGTTCATGTCTGTCTAACTGCCTTACCACAAAGGTAACTTAAAAAAAAAGAGTTTAGAGTTAGACCTGAATTCAAATACTAGGTCTATCATTCACCAGCTATAAAATCTTAGGCAGATTATTTCCTAATTCATAAAATAAAGAATGTACTTAAGGCTCCGAGTTCCACGCCAGGCACACAGCAAGCACTTACTAAATCAATCATGGTGTTTTTGAATCTTTAAGTACCATCATAGTGTCTAGCATACAATACATGCTAATAAACTTTTGCTGACTGCATGAGTGAATAATGAAAACTTAGAAAAACTTTCTAACAAAAAGAACTGTCTTACAATGGAACATTCCATCCTAGAAGACAGCACTTTCCCTAATAAGAAATCTTACTAGTGGGTCTTAACCCCTAGTCTTAACGCAGGGGTTTCAGAGACAACAATCCTACAAAATTCCATGCATATGTCCATGGGTACATTTTTCAAGGAAAAGGGTCTATAACTTTCACCACCATCCTCAAGGAGCCCAGGGCCTAGTAAAAGTTAGCAGGCAAGTGGCAATCAATTCAAGGGTTCCTAATATCCACTCTACTGTTTTATTTACTGTGCAATCAGCTGCCAGTTGCTATCTTGATATTTCTTCTCACCTTCTTGCTAAGTAAAATAATCTCCAATTTCTAACTAGGTACAATGGTGGTACAGGAAAAAAAAAAAAAAAAAGCTATAATTTCCAACTTGCTTTACAGTTATATTTGGACACAGATTAAGTTCTGGCCAATAACATATAAACAAAAGTTATTCTGCAGCTTCCAAGAAATCTCTTTAAGAGACAGCAGATATATTCCTTCTCCCCCCTCCCTTCTCTTCTTTCTCCTTTTCCATTTTCAAGAAGGGTTATGAGGTGGAAGGTAAAAAATGCAGAGCAACATGGTAGGAACTCAGATTCCTAATCACTGTGACACTGCCCTGCCTAAGGCTACCTCCAGATCTTATCCCGTGAAAATGAAATTGATGTCTATCTTGTTTTAAGTTTTGCCACAAGTAACCAAATCTAATATAATCCATTATGCTGTATCTGTTTTTCTATTAGTTACCAGTTCATATGCAACAATTAAACTCAATTCTCCCAATGACAAAAGCACATCTAAAATGACTATGCTAGCTTACTTATCAATAATATTATCTGGAAACAAAAACCCCAACCCATAAAGCAACTACTCTGGCATGAAAACAATCTAAGTTATTCAATCTTAGGGGAAAAGCACTGACCAAAAAGGTTAAAATGACAGCTAAATGTCCATTATTTCTTGTTTTTCCTAAATAAGAAATTAAATATGCACTGGTGCTTATGATTATTGTCCAACATATGTATCCTTTAAACGAAAAAGTAAATTCCAGTGCCTGCACTAATTACTAATTAATGTTAGTAATTCTGTGGGCATTGATCATTTTAGAATAGAACACCAGAAAATGTACACATTCTGTTTCAACCCATAAGACTACCCAATACTATCTTTAATGCATAACTGAGAAATTTTAATGAAAAGCTTCCTAATATTTGATGACACCCTTAAAAATCTTATTTGCTAGCTGAAAAACATACATAAAAATGTGGGAGCTTAATCCTAGTGTGACCCCACCTCCCCATTAAGCTAGACTAAAATGCTAAAGCAACAAGTATATCAATTTCCAAATAGAATGCATATGCAGAAGCAGGTCTCTGTTGTACTTCCACTGAACTAAGCATTTCCATTCCACTAAACTTGGAAAGTGGAGATGAATGAAAACATTTTTCAGAGTGGAGCACAACTGAAATAAAGGCTCACACATTAAAAGATTCAATTATACGGAATCCTATCATCAAAACAAGTATGATGAAAGAACATGTTCACTTCTTTGTTCCCAAGATATTTCATAATAACAAAAAAAAAAAAATAGTATTGGTAGCATAAACAAAGACACATAAATTTTATTTATTTTTTTATTTTTTTATCCTCACCTGAGGATATTTTTCAGTATTTTGTTCAGATAGAGTGGGAGGAAGAGAGAGAGAGAAACATCAACATGAAAGGGACACATCAAGTTGCTGCCACCCATACGACCCAACCAGGGCCGGGGACAAACTGCAACCGAGGTACATGCCCTTAGCGGAAACCGAACCCTGGTCTCTCTGGACCACAGGCCGACGCTCTAACCGCTGAGCCAAACCGGCCAGGGCAAGACACATGAATTTTAATGCAATAACCACTAGCCCTAACATATCTAAAAAAAAATCACCTAACTTTAAAAGTAGCAAGATCCAACAGTCATCCTAATGGTAGACAGCATCCTAGCAGTTATTCTCCAGTTATTAATCCTTTAATACCATCAAAACTTCAACAAGAGTCTGGCCAGTGTGGCTCAGTGGACTGAGCATCATCCCATGAACTGAGAGGTCCGGGTTCGATTGCAGGTCAGGGCAAATGCCCGGGATGCAGGCTCGATCCCCAGTAGAGGTCAGGCAGGAGGCAACCGATTGATATTTCTCTCTCGCTCCCTTCCTCTCTCTCTAAAAAAATCAATAAAAACATATTTTATGGGGAAAAAAAAATTTCCACAAGAAAGGCAGCAATGAGAAATCAGAAACAGGTGCTTTAAATTTCCATTCACAGGGTCAATGTTTATTTTCCTGTGAACACAGCAGAAAATTTATGTGACTTACAATAGAAAGTACAAAATAAATTTTTCCTGAGAATGTGTATATACAATATTATATATTATGTATTATATTATGTGTAGATGTGTATATATTATATATAAGCCACTCCATCACTCCCAATTA